GGCTGCTCCCGCAGTAAGGCCCGGTACTCGGGGCTCTGCTTCGCCGCGCCGCTGGCAAGCGCTGTCACCTGGGGGGAGCACGGCCGGGTCCAGTGCAGGCCGTCCCACCCCCAGGCACTGACCTGGTACCACGGCGCTGCCGCAGCCCCGGCCGTGGGAGCGGCCGCCTGCGGCGTGGGGAGGGGGCTGTCTGCCAGGGCGTCGTGCCGGAGCCGCTTCCTCCTGTGGTAGATGGCGAGGGCACCCAGGAAGAGGGGCCCGGTGAGCGCCAGCAGGAGGTACTCCAGCCCCGAGCCTGCAAAAAGGAACAGGAGCGTCCCCGTCAGCCGGCCGCCGTGGCGTCCCCCGTGCCACCGCACCCGGCCCCGCCACCCCCGCACCTTGGCCGCCGCTGCCACCACACACCCGCTGGCACTCCTTGCCGCACGTCTCCGGGATGCTCCTGCGAGGAGAGAGGAAGCCGTGGGTGCCGTGCTGCGCCATGCCGTGCGTGTCCCCGGCTGGGGCACGGGGAGGGGGTCGGTGCTTACGCGCTGCATGGCCGACACTCGCCGCCCTCGGCATAGAAGTCAGGCTTGCAGCTGCCGCAGAGCGCGTCCTGGGCCTCCGAGCCTGGGGAGAGGGCAGGCGTCAGGCAGGGCGGCACGGCCAGAGGCAGCACAGCCGGTGGGGGGACGCCGCAGGCCGGCAGCACTCACAGGGCCGCTGGATGAGCCGCCCGGTGCAGGGCTGGCACTGCCGGCAGGAGAACTCGCTGCAGCGCTCGTCAAGGCAGTCGCGGAAGCGGCCGGGCTCGCAGCCGCAGGCAATGTTGCTGGTGGCCGAGCAGTTGCTCAACACGCTCTGGAAAGCTGTGGAAGACAGGCACGGCACTGTGCAGTGCTGCATGGCACGGCACGGCACGGTGTGGCGCGACACGCCACCAGCTCACCTTGGCGGTCGCACTCGTAGCAAGCCTGGCACTCGGAGAAGGTGTTGGGCTGGGCGCTGAAGGTGCCGGCAGGACAGGGGGTGCAGACGCTGTCGTTGCCGAGGCTCGAGCAGGGGCTGCGCAGGAATGTCCCTGCGGGGACAGTGGGGTGACAGGGAGCACGGCCATCTGGGCCGACGTGCCCGGTGTGCCCCGGCATGCTGTGCCATGCTGCGCCGGCCAGGCGGCCCTCACCTGCAGGACACAGGGTACAGCACTGGCGAGCCCCCTCGATCCATTTCATCCTGGCAGGGCACAGGGGTCTGGTGGCGTGCCTCCGCAGGCGGCTGGTCGGCCGCACCAGGACCCACTGCCCCTGCGGCACGGCGCGGTCCCGGCACCCTGGGGGCTGCAATTCACTCGCTGCCAGACTCAGGGCTGCCAGGATCACCTGTGGGCAGGGAGAGGGCAGGGATGCAGGCAGCCGCGGTGCCCCAGGAGCCGTGCACCCGTGGAGGGCAGCCCTCCCACCGCGCTCCCCACCCTCCCAGCCACGCACGCTGGGCTACCGGAGACGCGTGGACACCGGTACCTATGCCGAGTGGGATGGCTGGAGCTGCAGCCCCGTGCCCTGGAGCTGTCCAGGTGTGGCCTCGGGGCTGGGAATGCCCCATGGCGGCCGCTGCGCCGCGCTTTCCCTGCGGTACCCAAGCGAGCGGCTTCCTGCTGGTACTGCAGGACTCACATGCCGCGGGGCCCACCCTGCTGGCCCCTGAGCCCAGGGGGGCCACCGTCGGGCACTCTTTGGGTGCTCTGCCAATGGTGCCGCCAGACTGGCTAGGGAGGGGGCCCGGGATGCTCAGCCACCTACCCACCTCCATGTTGACAGGACGAGGGAGTCAGGCACACGGGCCGCCGGCGGTGCCGGTCGCCCTGCCCACGCGATGGCCAGCCCGGTGAGGTGCCGGCAGCCAGGCACGGGAGGGTTAAGGCTGCCGACTTCGACTTTCCTGGGGTTTATCTCCCTTGCAGAGAAGGCGATTTCCTCCCCAAGAGGAAGCTGTGCCCGGCTCACGCTCCCCCCTGATGCTATCGCGCCTCGTACGTGCGTCCCAAACTAGGTCACCGCTCCTCCGCCCTGGGGAGCTGGGTGCTGTACTCAGGGGAGCCCACCTCCCTGGACAACCCCGGCAGGGGCGGCGAGGGGGTGCCCGTGCTGGCACCCCCCCGCCCTGGGGAGGGCCGCAGCACCGGCGGCACGGGCAGGGAGCCAGGGGATTCCTCGCCGGGGGCTGGATTTCCCAGCCGTGATGGCCCTGATTACGGCAGCTGAATCATTTTCTATTAAACCTGCCACCACCAGCAAACTGGAAACCGCGCATGAGCCTCCCCACTTGCAGAGCGTCGCTGGCAGATTGGGGCGGCTGCCTCGGCCCTGGCTGCCAGCGGCACGGCTGAGTCACCGCCGAAGCATGACCTTCCCATGGTGGGGCCCTGCCTGCACGCCCTGCCTGCAAGCGGGCAGCTGCCCCCTTCCCCGGCACAGGGAGCAGGCGCCCTGTGGGCAGGGGAGCCATCTGCGCAGGTGCTATCCCACCGCTGGCTGCGTGGCGGGGCAAGCCACCGCTTCCCGTGCCGCACAACCACCACCCCTGCCCGTAACGCGGCCCTGGTGCCGTGCGCCGCAGCGGCCGCCTGCCCGCCCCCAGCAGCTGCCACCGCCGGCAGCCCTGACGCGCGCCTGCAGGCTGTCGGCACAGCCGATCCCCGTGGCAGTGCCCTGCCTGCGGCCCTGTGGCGGAGCCCACGGTTCCCCAGGTGTCGTGGCTGCGCCTGCAGTCTTCGTGGCTGTGCCACGGCTGTGGTCCCCGTGGCCGTGCCACACTGCAGGCGCTTTGGCAAAGCAGACCCCAGTCCCAGGTGTTTAGCCAGGGGGGGGCGAGCGTTTTCGGCACACTTGGCGCTAGGCTAACCCCCCCTGCCTCCAGACCCCCTGTGGCCACAGCCATGGCGCACCCCACCATCGGTGCCAGGGGTCCGCGGGACACTGGCACCGCTGCACTCACCCAAGCCACCCCCAGACAGCAGCGCTTCATCCTTGCGGCCGATGCGGCTGGGTCATGCCGGGGTGGCGAGAGGACTGGGGCGGGGGACGCAGTGGGGTGTCAGGGCAGCTCAGCGCCCAGGCAGGGTGCCCCAGCACCCCATTGCCGCCGCCGCCGCCACCACCGGCAGAGCGCAACGCGTGGTAAGTGAGCACCAGCCTTCCCCACACAGGCTTTTAACACCCGACCGCAGCAGGAGGAAATGCTTTTTTGGAAGTAAGTCCAGGGGGTGTGAAACCACATGACGGGAGCGCCAGGCGCAGGAGGGACCTGCGCCGCCTCGCCGCGGGCTGCCTGGCCGCCGCCCTCCCTCTCCCGCTGGCACGGACCCACCGTGGCTGGGACGGGGTGCGGGGTGCAGTGCTGACCTCCCCCCCGCCCCACCCCCGGGCTCCATCCCCCCCCCAAATCCTGGGGCACGGAGGCTGGAGCCACCCCCAGACTCACCGCGGTGCCTGCCCCGGCAGGGCTCCCTCAGCCACACCACGCGCCCACCCCGGTGCTGCCCAGCTGTAGGGTGCCGCTGCGGCTGAAGGAGAGGCGAGGCGGGCACGGGAGCGCACCAGCTGGGTTTATTGCTCGGCCGAGACGTGGAGCGCAGCCTGGCACGGGACGACAGCTGGCGCTCCGGCTGCCGCCACGTCCCCCCACGGCTCCCACGCTCCGGCCCCGGGCATTGCCTTCCGCTGCCGCCCATCCCGCCCCACAGGGCAAACCCTGCTCCCGCCGGACCCTGGGGCCACTGCCCCCCCCCAGCCCAGCTCCGTCCCCTCCTGCCGCCAGCCCCAGCCTCCTCCCCGCACCACCCACAGCACTGTGCCGCCAGCACCGTGTCCCTCTCGGCACCTTCCCCGCTCACCACCACCAACGTCATCATCCCTTCCTCGCCCACAAGAGCTGCCCCGCGCCCCCCCCTGCAGCCCCCCATGTCCCGGGGACCCCCTGCCCAACGCCCCACAGGGCAGCTGGGCCCCGGCCACCAACCCTCATCTCTGCGAACAAGGGTTCGGCACGAGCCGTGTGCTGTGTCTGTCCCCGCTCCGGGGAGAAGCGGGCAGCCCCCCCCACCCCGCGCTGCCATGCCCGGGGCACATCCTCGCCGAGGGGACCGGTCTGCATCCCCATCCGTGTCCCCGCAGGCGCGACATCCCAGGGCCTGCTCTGCCCGGCCCCAGCGTCACGCTACAGTTAGAAGTGGCAGCAGCTCCTCGATGTGCCCGCGTGTCCGTCCTTACCGTGCCGGCAGCTCTCAGACCTCCCTGCAAGGCACAGAGTGGGGAGAAATGCCCTCAGCAGCGGGACCTGGCCCCCGGCGAGCAACCAGGAGAGCCAGAGCATCGTCCGGCAGCACGCAGGCAGGAGCGTACTTACGAGGCAGTCAGCGTGGAGTTCAGCAGCAGCGTGGTCCGGATCCGGTAGAGCTGTGCCAGCGTCAGCTTGCGGTGCTGTGCCGACTGCGGGTCCGAGAGGGTCCGGCGGGCAGCAGGCAGTGGGTCGCGACCGAGCTCCCCCGGGAGGGATGCTGGGCTCTCCGCCGGCTCCTCCGGCTCCGACAGCTCCGAGGTGGAGCTGCCGCTGCTGCTGGGGGCAGCCGGAGGGCCAGGGGTTTGGCTAGTCCGGGGGGGGCCGGCGCAGAGGTCAGAGAGGCTGCGGCTCTGGCTGAGGGGGGCCGGGGGGGCGGGGGGCAAGAGCTGGGGCAGGCTGGCCTCCA